GCGTCAAATGTTAACTAATTATCCTTTTCTGATATTAGCAACAGCATGGCTGGGCTTCTCTATGGTTTGTGAAACGTCCTTGAATGCATGCTAGTGTAACGTCATGTTTCTAAGCTTATGCTAATTTTGAACCTTAGGCTGGCCTATCAGTCGATTGGCGCTATATACGGAGATATCGGCACGAGTCCTCTATACGTCTTCTCAGCAACGTTTTCTACCCAGCCGGTTCTGATTGATTTGATTGGCGTTTTGTCACTTATCATTTGGGCTTTATTGCTCATTGCTACCATCAAGTATGTCGGTATAGTGCTTTGCGCAAATGATAATGGAGAAGGAGGATCCTTTGCATTGCTATCGATCATTCGGAGACATGTGAGTTACATTACTCCTTGAACATGGCGAAATGTGCATGAGGCTATATTGGTAGCTAATGATGACCATTAGGTACATCTTGATTGGCGTGATGCTAAAGCTAAGCTTGAAGATGACTGGAGGGATGGTAAGATAGATGAGACAGCTGGGTTCAACGGATACGTCAAAAGGTGGCTAGCAAATAGCTCTGCTGCCAAACGCGCGATTACTGTTCTTGCTGTGCTTGGTGTCTGCATGGTCATGTCAGGTATCTTCCCAACTACTCCGCGATACTTTAGCTAGTGGGCTGACTTATTGCGTAGATAGCGTGTTGACTCCGGCACAATCAATTCTCGGCGCTGTCCAAGGTACCCTCCCTTCCAGCAATAGCTATGCTCATTCCCTCCAACTGACGTGCTTATAGGTATTCAGATTGCTGCACCGGATATACCATCCCATACTATTGTTGGCATCACATGTGCTCTGATAGTCATATTATTTGCACTACAGCCAATCGGAACATCAAAACTAAGCAACTACTTTGCTCCTATTGTTACAATCTGGTTATTGTGCAATACATCCTTTGGCCTATTTGTTCGTATCCCTCTTTAATTCTACATGTGGAACTTCGAGACTAACTGGGTATAGAACCTGGTGTTGTATGACCATACCGTCCTAAAAGCATTCTCTCCGACCTATGCTATTTCTTTCCTACTTCGGAATGGGCTTTCAGGCTGGAGATCGCTTGGCGGTGTTCTCCTTTCTTTTACAGGTTGGTTACCTTATCCCAGCGTTATAAGTTCATGCTAATTGGACTATTCCGCAGGGGTTGAAGCTTTATTTGCCGATCTAGGCGCATTCTCCGCGAAGTGAGTACCCATATTAAACCCATTTGTATAAAGTGATGCTAATTGGTACATTCACAGAGCTATCCGGTTCTCATGGCTTTGTTTTGCACTACCGTGCTTGTTGATTATATACAGTGGCCAAGCTGCGTATATCAGCGAGCATCTAGACGCATTCGAGAATCCATTATTCAAGTCCGTCCCGCCAGGCCTATACTGGCCCACCCTGGTACTCTCCATGATTACCTCAATCATTGCATCGCAGGCCATGCTCACTGGTAGCTTTCAATTGATATCTCAAGCTGTTCGGCTGGGGTATCTTCCCAAACTTACCCGTGTGCATACGTCAAAGAGGATAACAAGCCAAATATATATACCCCTGGCAAATTGGTTTATGATGGCCTGCGCACTTGCTGTTACCATAGTGTACCAAAATGTAAGTATTCTGCAGTTCACGGGGGTCATATTCTTTGTAACTAACTTTAGTAGACCACTCGCCTTGGAAATGCCTATGGTGTCTGTGTGGTGGGAGTAAGCTTCATCACAACCTGGCTGGTGACATTAGTTGCTATCGTTGTCTGGAATGTTCACTACCTGATCGTGATCCCCATATCACTATTCATCGGACTGGCTGATACCTTGTTCCTCTCCGCCGCCCTGGCCAAGGTGCCCTCCGGTGGATGGTTTACCCTTGTTTTAGCTGCAGTCCTAACGACAACCCTGCTTGTATGGAGCTATGGAGAAGGATCAAAGTGGGCTGCACGGAAAGATGAGAGAATATCTCAAGCCGTGGTGTATCCAAACCAGAATGGCCAGTTGATACTGCGTGAAGAAGGTGTGGATCAACCAGTAAAGAAAATAAAAGGTTGGTAATAATATGCATACACATAATATCCATACGAAGTGTTAATTTCGGTGTAGGGATCGGGGTATTTCTGACTGACCATGATGCCGGTTCCCCTTCGGTATTCAAGCATTTTGTCCACAAGTTTGAATCAATACACGAGATATCCATCCTTCTTCACGTTAAACGTGTCCTCAAATATACTGTTAGTAGCATGGCTGCCCACTTTTATTGTCTGCGTGTCTGACCCATGCCCTGCAGGTAGCCGATGAGCGCCGATTCACACTACGACAAACAGGAATTCAGGGGCTGTTTCATGTCACCTTGCAATATGGCTACGGAGACACCGTGTCCTGGAACTCCTTTGAAAAAGACATCCTAAGTGAATTAGGAACTATCACTCCGGCATGTCGGGACGATCTGGAGGCAGAGTCCCCCACAGCCAATTTTGGTGAAGAGTCGTCCACCGCGATGCCACTTACCACCAAGAGACCCTCCACAAAATCTATCACATATATAGTCGGGAAGGACAAACTCTATCTCCTCCCAACGTCCAACCTGATCCGCCGCGTATTTTTATGGGCGTTCATCCACCTGAAGAACCGCGAGAAGACAAAGCTAGATCACCTGAACGTTCCGGTCGATAGGCTGCTGGAAATCAAGTTCTCCAAAGGGATATAAACGGGTACGGAACAGGCGTCTGGAGTTTACGACGGGAAAGCACATCGTAATTTTTTTCATAGATATAGACTTAGGCACTTAACAATGTAAGATGAGTGTGCTCTGGTGTTGCCTGTCTCCCTTTTTCAACCCCCTTTAAATCGCTACTCTCCGGCTATCACATGCATGACTACCTACCTTAGGTAATTAAGTTTATGCTTACTAATAGCATTCGGAGCGACTTTCTTCCTGCGCATAAATCAGTGGATTCCGATTGGTCGGCAAAGATCAGGTCACCTCGGCTTCTCATTTTCTTTGCCGCGAAAACGACGAAGACGATGAAAAATGGTTGGGATAAACCAGCAGTCCACGGCCTTGATATTCACTGCAATAAGAGTATCTATATGCTGTCAAAGTATTCTGTAGTCTAGTAACAGGTAGGCTGAGTAATATCCGCAGCGTTAATCGTCGATCGGGCCCTCCAGTGCTTGGCGACCGCTCTTTGAGTTCAACAATAAAAAAAAAAATAATAATAATACTTTAATTCACTATTAATTCAGGCCCGACAAAGGGTTAACTAATGATCTCGTTCGTCCTTTGAACTTGCCAACCACCAACCTCCAGCCGGCTACAGACCAGATCGCCTCTTCTACCACTTCACCAGCGCCGTCGCCGTCGATATACTCCCTCACCAGCTGCCATCATGTCTGCCGATAAGGAATTCACCCTCAAGGAGGTCGCTGCTCACAGCACCAAGAAGGATCTCTACGTTGTGATCCATGAGAAGGTCTACGACTGCTCCTCCTTCATCGACGAGCACCCGTACGTCTGACCCGACATCTTCCCCTGCACCTCTCTTCCGTGTCACGGATCATTGAGGCATCTGTGTCTATATTCCACCGCATCAGACATGCACCGTATCTGAAAACAGGGGGCTAACCTGCTTATCTGTTCAATTTAGCGGTGGTGAGGAAGTCCTGCTTGATGTTGCCGGTCAAGACTCCACAGAGGCCTTCGAGGACGTCGGACACAGCGACGAGGCCCGTGAGATCCTCGAAAGTATCAAAGTCGGCACCCTGAAGCGACTGGTATGCTTTGCTCTGCTCCGGCTTTCTTCTTTTCTCCGCATATTGGGGGAATTATTCTGCTGACTTTTCTCTCTCTCGCAGCCTGGTGATCCTGCCCCAGCCGCCGCTCCTACAACCACCACCACATCCACTAGCTCAAGCGACTCTACTGGCCTCGGAATCGGTCTCTACGCCGTCCTCTTGGTCGGTGCTGCTCTCGCCTACGGTGTCTACCAGTACATGGCCACCCAGCAGGCACAGCAGCAGGCATAGACGAAATATAATTACAGTCTGTCTCTTAAGAAGCAATAAACGACATGATTCTTCATTATTAAAGACCATTTATGATCAATTACCCTGCCAGATCTATGACCCCTTTTCCTCTTGGTCTTGATTACTTCAACACATTCTCCTTGAGGCTTGAATTACACTTGTCAAGAGCTCACCTTTTAGAATTCTTTAGTTTATGGGATTGTTTTCTTCTTCTTTTATTTCTCCCTGCTATGTGTTTCTTGCTATTATTTATTTGCCTTCATTCACATTTTTTTGCAAGGAACTCTCCGCCTATGAGTGATGGGCTGAGTGATCGATTAGATGACTCTTTTTTCATACCAAAAAAACAGGCCAGAGGAGTGTGGGTATACAATTTACCAGGTTCTTGAGACAGATTATCGTCCTCTTTTCCTACGTATATCATCTTCAGCCGTGGTTGTGGCTTTATTCCCCTACATGCCCCATTGCGGATTACCAAAAGGGGGATCCGAGTGCTGAACAGCCACCAGCAATTTTCGTATCTCAATTTCTCTAGATTAAAGGGACAAGCAGCGTATCTCTTTGCATCCCTGTAGATATCATCTCGCAATTCTCCGATATGCTCTTTGCAGTGCCTGTTGGACGATGCAGCTCTCATAGTCCGTATTAAACTAATTGGCTGACCCCACGAGTAACACCGAACGTTGCCTCTTTGACCCCGCCAAACTCACGTTGAACTACCAAATACAAGACATCAACTTCAGCAATTATCGTTGATGAGAAAGAAATACGCAATATGTCACGCCATAGAGTGAAGAATATCAGTTATGACGATGACGACCTGGACGACGAAATCGATGACAATGACGATGAGCTTTCTCCCGAAGACCGCGAACAGATGCGACTCGCGACAATAGAGGTGCAGCAGCTGCTACGCTCGCAGATACCAGCTATAGAAGCTAAAGAAGACGATATATGGGAGACTCTATGGCATTATTACTATGACGTGGACAAATCTGTCGACTACTTGACCAGTATGACTTGTTCTTTTCTATCCCGGCTAGTTACTACAAGTAAATACTGATAACTATTACTCCGTGTAGAGAAATATAGATCGCAGGAAAAGAAGGAAACGAAAGCAAAAGCGTCCACTGCTGCAACAAAAAAGAAGAATACAGCTGGTGAGTTTGTTTTGTTTCGTCTTTCCTCGTTTGTAATCCCTTTTGGACGTTGGGAGGTCCCCTCGGATATAGGTGCATATCCTGCTCTACGGTGCGTCACCATTTCAATTACACTCATCTTAGTGTGGCTTTAAACGTCCATCCGGAGACGCTACTTATACCAATAAATCACTGAAGCTATTACTAACTTGTTGGCTTTTACTCGTCTAGTTACAGATTCGACGGTGTCAACCTTACCACTACCTTACTCGAGCCACTTCTCTGTGCATGACTTCTTCAAAGACTCTCCGTGGTTAAATATCCCGCCACATCGGCAAGCGGAGATCTTGATCGAACCACTATATCCTAGACTAGGATTGCTAGGGGGATCTTCCTCCGAGAAGCCCGGGAAGATGTCAAAGTTGGCCGCTCTAGCTGCTGCACGCAAGAAAAAGGAAGCCGAAAGACAGAAAGCTCAAGAACAAGGAGAGGCAGGAGGGTCAGCAGAGGAAACGAATAAACCTCTTTCCTTACGGGATAGGTTGGCTGGTGGTGGGAAAAGCAGGACGCCCACGCCTTCTAGTTCTAGGTCATTGACACCGCTGAGGGGTCTGAGTCGGTCTCCCAAGAATGAACAGTCACAGGCGATTGGAGAAGGCGCAAATATTGGCCAACAGCTTGCATCAAAAGCGACTCAGCAAGAACATGATCGCAAAGAAGCTGATATATCGAAGTCCGAGGAAAAGCTTGCGGCTGGCCCGTCTGAATTTGCAGCAATAATAATCGGCGAGAAAAACGAATTAGGGGAACCTGCTTCCAGCGTCTCACCTCGTGCATATAATCTGTTTGATTTCGTCGTGCAAGATCTCACTGAAGTTTACAATTTTGCAGAGCCGAGCCCGGACGATGTCGTTATCAATGCACAGAATGCAGCTAAAGGTTTGTTAGATTCCATCTAGGTAAATGCTTCGCAGGATAACTAACTAGGGCTGGTGCTTTACAGAGAAGAAAGCAAAACGAAATGCCAACCAGCAGGCAGCCGGAAAAGCTCAAACGGACTTGGCTGGCGGTGTGCAGCAGCTATCAGTTGAACCTGTGAAGGTGAAAAGCAAAAATTTAGACGTATTAGAAGAACATCGAAAAGCAAAGAGGAAGAAAGCTGCGAATTTTGTTGTTATTGGTTTGTTGCCTGAATTGGCTGTCAAATGGGTGTCCCGCTAACAAACATATTATAGGCCATGTTGACGCCGGGAAAAGTACGCTTATGGGGAGACTGCTATACGACCTTAAAGCGGTCGACCAGCGAACAGTTGATAAATACCAACGAGAAGCCGATAAGATCGGAAAAGGATCGTTTGCGTTTGCATGGGTTCTTGACCAGGGCGCAGAAGAGCGCGCTAGAGGTGTCACAATCGACATTGCTTCAAATAACTTTGAAACAAAGGATACCAAATTTACAATATTAGATGCGCCGGGACATCGAGACTTTGTGCCCAATATGATTGCCGGTGCAAGCCAAGCTGACTTCGCCGTTTTGGTCGTTGATGCTAGCACCGGTAAGTTTGAATCTGGCTTGAAAGGACAGACTAAAGAACACGCTTTGCTGGTCCGGAGCATGGGTGTGCAGAAGATGGTTATTGCCGTTAATAAGATGGATATTGTAGACTGGAATAAGGACAGATTCAATGAGATTGAACAGCAGATATCCGCCTTCCTGGTAACAGCTGGCTTCCAGGCGAAGAATATCTCGTTTGTTCCTTGCTCTGGTCTTCAGGGAGACAATATAGCGCGAAGGTGCGAGGATAAAAAAGCCGGCTGGTACACCGGCAAGACACTTATTGAAGAACTAGAGACTTCAGAGCCATTCTCATACGCCCTCGAGAAACCTCTACGGATGACGATAGGAGATATATTTCGGGGAGGTATCCAGAATCCCCTATCTATATCTGGACGGCTTGACGCTGGCCACCTCCAGGTGGGCGATCAGTTTCTGGTCATGCCCAGCGGAGAGAAGGCAGTTGTCAAGAGTCTGGAAGTCGACCATGAGCCAGTGGATTGGGCGGTGGCAGGTCAAAACGTGGTCCTCCATTTAGCTGAAATCGACGCTAAACACCTTCGAATTGGTGATATCGTCTGCAGCACCTCCTCGCCGGCTCAGAATATCACCAGCTTCACCGCAAAAGTACTTGCTTTTAACCATCTGACACCAATGCATATTGACGTGCACCGCGGCCGGCTGCATGTCCCTGGTCGGATTACGCAGCTGGTAGCTACTTTGGACAAAGGGTCGGGCAAGCCAACGAAGCGGAAACCGAAGATTGTGGCTCCGGGCAAGGTCGCTCGGGTGGTGGTGGAGCTGGAGCAGTCCATCCCGCTAGAAGCTCCTGCGCGGATAGTCCTGCGGTCTTCAGGGGAAACCGTTGCTGCGGGTCTACTAGAGTAGTGACTTTACTCCATAGATAAGGACACGTTTACCGCATAGTATTACAGAGTACTCCGTCCATTGCCGTCTTACTTCTCTCTTCCTCATCGTCGTCGGCTTTTCGGTCAGCCTTTGATATCAAACCCGCAGCCAATCAGAAGCCGTCAAGTCGTCTCAGTGGCCATTTGCTGAGTAATAATGCTTACTCACCAGTATTGACCAATCGCAGCACGTGGAGTAGTCTTCGCTGTCGGTGAACGGGCGAGCTAAACCCGAAACGACCTAGCGCGGCATGAGTTTGAAGAGGCCAACTTGTTCCTTTTGCGTTTTGCGCTTCTCTTCATAAAGCAACATCCACGGCTCGACCACTTCATCTTCTCTTCCTCTTCTCCTCTCCGTCCACACTCACCAGGAGATCTTCTTCTGCTACCCCTTGTTGCCTCTTCTTTTCCTTTTATACCTCGTTGTTGGAAGTTTGTCGGCTCTGGGAGTTGATCAGGGCTCTTGCGGGCAAACTAGAAGCAAGCAAGCTCTTCTTCCGGCCAATTTGCCTACCATCACCATTCGCTCACTCACAATCACATCCAAGATGTCCAGACAATCGAGGCGGGGAGCGTTCTCGCCCTTTGCGTGGACTACCATCCTCTACCTCCTCCTTGTCCTAGTCGCTCCTTTTGCGCTTCTGGGAACCGCAAACGCCGGGGATGCTCAGGCACCCATTGAGAATGAGAACCTCAAGAATGGTATGAATTTGAAGCCCAGCTATACAGGGAACTACAAGTACTAATTGGGTTATAGTCATTGGTATCGATTTGGGAACTACATACTCGTATGCCATCTCTCTCGTTTAATAGCCGTGTGGGTAGGAATGAATGCTGATTGCCACTCAATAGCTGTGTTGGTGTTATGAGAAATGGAAAGGTCGAAATTCTCGTCAACGACCAAGGAAACCGAATTACCCCTTCATACGTCGCCTTTACCGATGAGGAACGATTGGTCGGAGACGCTGCAAAGAACCAGTACTCCGCCAACCCTCACCGTACCATCTTTGATATCAAGTAAGTTGGATACACACTATGGTGATTGTATTGTTCAACCGGGGTACTGACAGGGGAATAGGCGTCTCATCGGCCGCAAGTTCTCTGACAAGGATATCCAGAAGGATATCAAGCACTTCCCCTTCAAGGTCAGCGAAATCAATGGAAAGCCATCGGTCAACGTCGAAGTCAACGGAAAGGCCCGCAACTTCACCCCCGAGGAGGTCTCCGCCATGGTTTTGGGTAAGATGAAGGACATCGCCGAGAAGTACCTCGGAGAGACTGTCAGCCATGCTGTCGTCACTGTCCCCGCCTACTTCAATGACAACCAGAGACAGGCCACAAAGGACGCTGGTACCATCGCCGGTCTGAACGTCATCCGTGTTGTTAACGAGCCAACTGCCGCAGCTATTGCCTACGGTCTCGACATGACTGGTGACGAGCGCCAGATCATCGTCTACGATCTCGGTGGTGGTACTTTCGATGTCTCTCTCCTCTCCATTGACAAGGGTGCCTTCGAGGTCTTGGCTACCGCTGGTGACACTCACTTGGGTGGTGAAGATTTCGACCAGCGTGTCATCAACCACTTCGTCAAGCTCTACAACAAGAAGAACGATGTCGACATCACCAAGAACCTCAAGACCATGGGTAAACTCAAGCGTGAGGTTGAGAAGGCCAAGCGTACCCTTTCTTCCCAGAAGTCTACCCGCATTGAAATCGAATCTTTCCACGATGGCAAGGACTTCTCTGAGACCCTTACCCGTGCCAAATTTGAGGAATTGAACATGGATCTCTTCAAGAAGACTCTCAAGCCAGTTGAACAGGTTCTTAAGGATGCTAAGGTCAAGAAGTCTGAGATTGACGACATCGTCCTTGTTGGTGGCTCTACCCGTATCCCTAAGGTCCAGGAGCTCCTTGAGGAGTACTTCGGTGGAAAGAAGGCCAGCAAGCAGATCAACCCCGACGAGGCTGTTGCCTTTGGTGCCGCTGTTCAGGCTGGTGTCCTTTCCGGACAGAAGGGTACTGAAGATGTTGTTCTCATGGACGTCAACCCATTGACCCTTGGTATTGAAACCACCGGTGGTGTTATGACCAAACTCATTCCCCGCAACACTGTCATCCCTACCCACAAGTCCCAGATCTTCTCTACCGCCGCTGATAACCAGCCCGTTGTCCTCATTCAAGTTTGTAAGTTACCCTTTGAGAACATTCAATTTTTACTACGACCAAGCTAACGGTTTACTACTAGATGAGGGAGAGCGATCCATGACCAAGGACAACAACTTGTTGGGTAAATTCGAGTTGACTGGCATCCCACCAGCTCCACGTGGTGTTCCCCAAATTGAGGTCTCTTTCGAGCTTGACCCCAACGGTATCCTCAAGGTCACCGCCGGAGACAAGGGAACTGGCAAGGCCGAATCTATCACCATCACCAACGACAAGGGCCGTCTTTCTCAAGAGGAGATTGACCGCATGGTTGCTGAGGCTGCTGAGTTCGCTGAGGAAGACAAGGCCATGAAGAGCAAGATCGAGGCCCGTAACGCTCTCGAGAACTACGCTTTCACCCTCAAGAACCAGGTCACCGATAGCGAAGGCCTTGGTGGCAAGATCGATGAAGATGACAAGGAAACTGTAAGCTCCCTAACCCCTACATTGCCTTATCCAGTACGTCGTGCTAATGTACTTTTCAACAGCTTTTGGAAGCCATCAAGGAGGCCACTGAGTGGCTTGATGAGAACTCCGCCACTGCTACCACCGAAGATTTCGAGGAGCAGAAAGAGAAGCTCTCCAACGTCGCCTACCCAATCACCAGCAAGTTGTACGGTGATGCCGGTGAGGCTCCATCAGCTGATGATGATGATGACACCCCATCTCACGAGGAACTTTAAATGACCACTGGAAATACCCCCAAAAAATAAGACAAAAAAACAAGAAAGAAGAAAATGATAAAGACATCGAGTGTGGCATAGTTGGTTTCTATGTCACTAATAAACGCTGCTTGGTGCATTGCTCACTACTACCCAAATGGATTCCCGTTTGGTCCCGGCCATTCAGCATTACTTAAACAACTCATACACATAGACCCATACGTACCTTGACGTGAAAGCAATGGAAACCCAGTCGATCTCGTCTACTTTGCTGTTTTTTTCGTTTCTTTTTCTTTTGCCTTTCATGCCTACAACCATGTATTATCAAGATGAAGGAAAACGGAAGTCAAGGTAGTTAATATACAGGAGTTCTTTATTTTTTTTTTTTTTCATATTAAGCTTTGCTTCAAGTAGACCAGTCTATACTCGGGTTATGCTCGAGTAGTTCATCATTTAATTCATTATTTGGGGGTATATAATGAGGCAACACCTTTCTTTCTCGCATGAGGTCCCATGCCCAAACACCCCCTGTACCCAAGCTATACACTGCAAGCTCGCCTGTGAAACTGAATTTTCTATATCTTACCCGGCCAACCATCACCCAAGTAAGATAGCTGGTTAGGTATCCCATGCCATTCAAAGCAATATAAAAGACAAGACGTACGAAAGCCAAGTAACGAAAGACAAAAAATGCATAGGGAAGAAAAGGAAAGAAGGACAAAAAGTACATAAAGTGAAGTTGAGACATCCAGTAAGCATCATTAGTTTAGTTAGCTGGGGCCCGCTCATAAAAAACAAGGTATGCTTGCTCGTTTTGCAAGTTATCAGGGGAAGAACGGGAAGAACTTGGTTGGAAATCCGTTACTCGTTGATCATCAAATTTCCGCCAACATCTGCGTTGCTCATCTCTAACCAAGGAAATGTAATGTCCTTCATTCATAGTTGAGCCAATGTGCCGGACAACGGCGTAGGCGTTATAAATATATGGACTGGACGTAGCGAGTTCATTAGTCTGTAGCACAGATTGGGATTTTGGGGGGGCATGTGAGTTTGATTTTGAATCAAGTTTATCGTCGCTGCCATCCGGCAGAGGAGAGACGGGACGAGAAGATTGGGAATGTTGAGGGTGTTGAATCATAAAGGGGGTCATGTCGAGGCCGCTAAGTGGGAAAGAAACTGGCGTGTGGATTTTACGCGCTTGTTGCCGTCTGGAGGCGGAAAATCTCTTGAAATGAAAGACGAGGAAGCGAGGAGCTCGGGTGAGGATGATTTGTTTCGCGGCTTCTCGCTCTCGTTTGCAGTATGGGCATTTCCAAACTTCGTCACCACTGAGTACTTCTTCTTGACAGTAGCTTTTGAGGCATTGATAAATATCTCCTGTTCCTGTGACGGGGATTTCGACACTAATGCTATAAAATGCCTCGTATGTAGTGGAAGTCTTTCGACATGTAGTGCAGCGAAGTTGACTGGCATGCTGTCCCGCGAAAAGGGAAGATACATACGATAGTTCACGGTGCGAGTATCGGGCCCATTCGATTTCCGATACCTTGTGGATTGGCATTTGTTCTCGGCGCATTTCCTCTGCAAAGGTCAATGGCCGTAAAGGCGTGCGTTGCCAACGTAGATTGAGATCCTCATGTAAACAATCAACTAACACATCAAAAAACTCCTTTGCGTCTTGCTGCTGGCTTCCTGCCCACTCTGTGTTCAATCGACCAACGAATTTCCGGAATGATGTAGGCCGAATTACTTCAACGTCATTCTTCCACAAAGACCGTATCAGATTTGCGAACAAGCCCGGTAAGACGCCTTGCGAGCCTTTCCAGTTCTTTTGAACTTGAGCGTGAAAGCGATTATCGACAAAAAATTTGGTAAGCAGGACGGTAGCGCTGAGACTTTGTATTATTGAATTCATGTAGCAGGTTGAGCCCAGGTTGATAAGACCAGTCCGAGGGAGTCTCAGTCGGTCAATGGGGGAAGAGTATAGTGCTTGTTTATGAGCAGATGATTGCCGAGCAAGCGGTGGCTGTGTCTGGCCACGGTCTGCCACACCACTATAGCTTGGTCGAGGAATGGCGGGAGGTGGCCTTGACGGGGCCGGTACGGCTGCAGCGTCGTACAATGGAAATTGTACTGCATTTCCCGCATGTACCATAGACTCTCGAATGTCGTTTGGTTCGGGGAACCTCCTAAGAAAGTCCTCGTAACTATGTACGAATGAGGCTGTCTGCTGTAGAGTAGGTGCGTCGATATCTTCAGGTTCTTCAGTAATGTCTCCTTCCTCGGCAACGTAGCTGGTGTCTATCTCCTCGTCCCTCGCCTTTTCGAGCCAGGCTCGTTCTTCTTCAGGGTTGAGAGGTTTATAATCACGTAGTCTCCTCTTCCTCACCTCCCAGCTTGAATTTGCGCTAACAGTAGGATTTCTGCGCAAAAGCTGGCTGGAATCAGGCGCTTGCCTTCTAGCACGGACAGAGCTTAGTATCGCGCTGGTTTGGGACGTCGCTAGAGATTGTGGCCCGACCAAGTCAACCCATGCATCTAGACCACCAACTAAAAGAGCTGGAGGTCGGCCACCTTTTAACGGCTTATAAAAGTTGAACTCATATAAGGTATCATAGAGAGCGCGCAGATGTGGAACTGCACTTCCAGCGGGAGACCCTATCAAATATGTTGGCTCAACGGTGCTTTGATCATAGTAGACGATAAGGTCAAATTCGTTTCGCCGGTTGAATAATGACTGTTCTGTGTCGGGTGAGATAATCAGCCGATCCTCAAGCTCTTCTGCAGATATGTTCTCCTTCAACACTACTGGCTCAATGCACAAAATGGACTTGGCATATATGTGACCGGCATCATATTGATCTCGTGACCGAACGTCGATGAGCAGGACATCATATTTTCGAATAAATTCTACCAACTTTGTAGGACTGATCGTGGGGCCGACATATATATCCGGGCTTCTGTTTCCAGAATCGGCCTCGGGCCGGATCCCGTTAGGAGTTTGCGAGCGGTACGGGTTATCTGTAGCGGTGTTAAGGCTGCTGTTGGAATTTGTTGCCCCGGTGTTTGTTTGCTTGTAGATAGTATTGCGTATACTTTCGATCGACGTCCTAGGAGGGTTCGGAGTTGGTATTGAGGGCACAGTCCACATAGGGTTATAAGCAGGGCTTGGGTATCTAGGGAGAGGTGCATCTACACCAGAGATGGGGACCTTTGGAGGGACAGTCGGGGCAGATGGGTTCATCTCTCGGGGCCCCTGTGGTTTCGAGGGCACAGGACTGCGCTGTCCCGAATGAGTCTGTGAGTATAGGTGTGACCGGTAGGTAGAGTAATTCCCATTGGTGCTGATAGTAGAGTAGGAAGAGCCATTTGCTCCCTCATTCGATGGGCTGCTGCCTTGATGTCGCTGGTTTCTCAGGCCTGCAAGTCTCTGAGCAAGGGGATCCTGCACAGGTATCGACTCACTGGCAGGCCTGCTGCCTCCTGAGATCTGTGAAGTAGTGTTTAATGGTTGCCTGTGAAAGTTGGTGGGGCTTGGCATGCGTAAAGTAGTAGAAGATGGAGTTGACGTTGAGCGTGAGTGTCCTGTGGCATTGTTGCTTGCTGTGATTTTCCGCTTAATGTCTTCCATCGTCTTGTGCTGGGAATCAACGAGCTATAGTACCGTTAGCTACCCTGTATCTGACGGTTGCCGGAGTATACACACCATCATTAGTCTGGCAAACTGGTCCGCCCATCTTGGGTGGTTCTGCTTCATATACGTGAAATCTGAGTGGCGGGGAATCATATTGACAGTGATATCAGAGGCACGGAGGTAATAGACGAGAGCAGAATCGTATTTCCCTCGCTGGGCGAGGGTTTTTGACTTGCTGATGGCATCTTCGGAGATATGTAATAGTTCATTTAACTATACCAACCCTGCTATTAGCACTGCCTGGAAGCTCTAGAGAGGTAAACCAAGACGAAAGATAAACAACATACCGACGGATCTTCACCCAAGTTCAAACAAGCTGCCATGTTCTGCAATTCTTTCATCGAGGGATAGGGAGGCCTACCCGCACCTGGTACGGGAGCCCCATCTCCAGCACCCCGAATCGGCTCCGCTGGTTCGACCATCTGGAATCCCGTCGGCAGTGCGATGCCTCGAGTAGGTCCTGCTTATATCATATGTCCAAAACCTCTCACAGCGCTGTCTCCTCGCGGCTGGAAATGCTGCTGGCTAACAGTCTTCCTGAGCGAGCGTCATAGGCCCCTCTCCGTGCCGCGTGGCAGGGCCGAGCGGCTTCAAAATTGTTGAAGATCGTGGCGTGTCTCCCTTTTAGTCTCTCGGGAAGCCCCTATCGTATCCAATCCGCATCTCTAGCCGCACCATCGAGGCATCGGTGTCGTGTATCGTCTTTGTTCAATGCAGATAAACTCAACTGCTGGCGCAACATTCTGAATAAGCTCTCCACGTGATCTACCTTGTTCTTTCATCACATGACGTCGATTTATGGAATCAGGCACTCAACATTCAAGCAGAAGCAAAGCAGCAGAAACAAGAAGAGAAGAAGACGAAGACGAAGCAGGCAGTGGATGCGCATCGGAGAGACTGCTGTTGAGCCCCTGTTATCTCGCTGACCAGCCTGACGCTCTGGTGCGTTGACAGCTACAGCTACATCTACAGCTCTAAACATCCCAAGCTTCTTCCTCAGTGTCGTCATCATGGCAAGCTGGTTCACATCGTCGTCCCCGCTGGACGATCAAGTTGAGAAGGCCACGTCCTCTAGCTTGTAAGTGATAAGTTTGGATATGGCTAGCGGCTGTTAACAGTTACTAGGGAGGATATCGCTTTGAACCTGGAGATTTCCGACCTGATTCGATCCAAGACAGTGCAGCCCAAGGAGGCTATGAAAGTGCTGAAGCGCAGGCTGGAGACGAAGAATCCTAACGTTCAGCTCGCGACGCTTAAGGTCTGTGTGTTGATCTGAGATGTCTTGCTCCGTTGTAGGATCTTGATCGCTAACCGGGGCTCTTTGCTTAGCTGACCGATACCTGCGTGAAGAATGGCGGTCGGCATTTTCTCGTCGAGATCGCATCTCGAGAATTTATGGATAACCTCGTTTCCTTACTCAAAACCGAAGGCCCAAATGCCTTAAACCTTGATGTCAAGACCAAGATGCTGGAGCTCATACAGAACTGGGCCATGGCCGCTCAGCCCAGGAACGACCTATCTTACATCGCCGAAACCTATCGGAAACTACAGAACGACGGATATAATTTCCCACCAAAGACTGAGATCTCAAGCACTATGCTGGATAGTGATGCCGTAAGTAGGCAACTTTGTTTTGTGCCGCCAACTTTTAATTTGATGGATAGGAAGCTGACTGTACCCGGTAGCCCCCTGAGTGGATTGACTCAGATGTATGCATGCGATGTCGCACTGCATTTACATTTACCAACCGCAAACATCATTGTCGCAACTGCGGGAACGTTTTCGATGCTCAGTGTTCTAGCAAGACCCTTCCACTGCCGCATCTTGGGATAATTCAACCTGTTCGGGTGGACGATGGCTGTTATGCAAAACTTACATCGAAATCAACCAGCGCAGCCGCTCGTTCGTTTAGTAATTCATTAAACACACCAGCAGTTCCGGCGAATAAGCCCCGCATGGAACCTCGGAGTGCGTATGCTGATAACGATTTTGACGAAGATTTGAAGCGGGCGCTACAGATGAGCTTGGAGGATTCAAAGGGGCGACAGTCCTCTGGTTATGTTCCACAACCCAGATCCACATACGCGTCGCCAAAGGTACAAGTTAGCGCCCCGAAAAATGATGAGGAAGAAGACGCAGATCTCAAAGCTGCTATTGAAGCATCGTTAAAGGACGTGGAAGAGCAAAAGCGAAAGCATACCGCGGCCCTGAAGAGCTCTGCATATAGCGACAAGCCGGAATCCAGCAAATCTTCCGCAGTTTTGCCGAAAAAGGATTATGAGTTGACACCCGTCGAAGCTGAAAATATCAACTTGTTAGCCACCCTTGTGGACCGGCTACAACACCAACCTCCAGGAACCATTTTACGAGAACCCCAAATTCAAGAATTATACGAAAGTATTGGTGCTCTACGACCAAAGCTCGCTCGAACGTACGGTGAAACGGTCAGCAAATATGGTAAGATGCTATTATTGTAAGGATGACCCTTGAGACTAGCTAAGTGCTGACTATACTAGATACACTTCTTGACCTTCATGCTAAATTATCGACGGTTGTGCGATATTATGACCGCATGCTGGAAGAACGACTCTCAAATACATACTCGCGCCAGACTTTGAATGCATATGACAGTGTTCGTCCCCAGTCGGGTTCCAACTTCTACCCATCTATGACCCAGCATAACACAGGTGGCCATGAAGGCGCCGAAAACTTCTATCTTGGAGCCGGCGCACCATCCGAACTCCACCAGTCGGTGTACCCCCATACCCAATACTTATCCA